CACAGGTGGCAACCTATCACGGTACCACGCTTGAATTCACTGAGCTCCTGAGAGCGACCCATTCTTTCACAAATGTTTGTAGAAGCAGTCTGCATGCCTAGGTGCTTGATTTTATACACCTGTGGCCATGGAAGTGATTGGAACACCTGAATTCAATGATTTGGAGGGGTGTCCCAAAACTTTTGGCAATATAGTGTATCTCCAAAAGGCCACTGTGGTTTTCATTTCATCATTTGATTCCACTCGTTTCATTCATTTCACTCGTTGGACACATCACACTGACATCCGTTACATCTTATGCACTATCATCCACTGCTGGGGTGAATGGCCTTTCTTACTGCCAATGAATTTCAGGTGGAAGCACTCAGACTGACATAAAAAAGTTTTTCATTACTGATATGATGACCACATAACTTTTTGTCTTTTGCATATAATTAATTTATATGTACCCTGCCTACTCTGACACACTGTATAATTGGTGACAAATGATATCATAGTTTCTTAACTTGCCATTGCTTAATCTTTGTGTTTTTAAGTCCCTGCAAATGCTTTGTATGGCTGTTTGAACAGTGGTCTAAATAACCAGTAGTCTAAATCTCCATGTCCCTGATATTCTTATTTTGTTTCATCATAGCAAGTTGCAATAATGCAGAAATACATTTATATAGAACAAAAGTGTCAGATCTAATTTGCAATGGCCCGGTGTGGCTGCCAGTTTTTATCACTAACAAGCAGGAGTACATCTGATTCAATGCTTCAGTTGTTTGAAGACCGAGACCAATTATGTATGACTATATAGGAAATAAGATATAGGAAGAAACACTTTCTACATCACCTGGAGCACTAAAGGCTCCTAGATCTGAGCAGCTTCACACAGGAAGTAGCATGTCTGGTGACTTCATCCCTCTGCTCTTTACCAAGACAACCATTACCTTACAGCTGAAAACAAATCCATCTACTGACTACATTCTGTTTGTGCTACTCTTGCATTTCATTTGTTATCGTGTTATCATGACTACAGTTTGTCATATTTAGCCCCTACCTAGTGGATAGTCTGTAGTCTCAATGACACCACTTGCCAAGACATATAATGGATGGGCTAATCCCAGCCAGCAAAGGACAACCATGCACACAGCCATGACAAACAAGTCATTGCAAGCAGATTGACTGCAACATGGCACAAGGTGACGTTTTTCCCATTCATACAGAAGATTTGCATCTGTCATGCTTGCAGAGAATTCAGTGGTCTTTTTAATTACTTTTCCTGACATTAATGATGAATTCGAATTAACTCGTAAGTAGCAAGGCAGTGCTCAGAATTACATAATTTTCGACCTATGTGCTTTTGAGCTACGAAGTTGGAAAAGATGGATTTGCTTGTCTTTTGTTAGCAACATGCTATTCAGCTAATGTGAGGGATATGAGTAATCTTTAATGTTTATGTTCTCAAAACTGTACGGTCAGTGTTATAGATTTAACCATGTGCGTACATTGACTGAACTAAAGCAAATACTGCTATAATGTCATTTAAAGTGGAGAAGTGGTAGATTATTTGGTAACACTTTACAATACTGTTCAACAACTCATAGGTAATGATGCAGGAACTAAGCAGGAACAAATGAGTAGTTCTTCATTAACACTATCGTATTCCTAAAAAATACTAAGAAGGACTAGTTAATTACTCAGTAAGTATGTTTGTATGAGTTCACTATTAACTATGCAGTAATTAACTGAGTCTTAAGTAGTAATTACTGAGTCTTACATTTCTCCTGCAGAACTACTAGCTAACTATGGCTCTTTCATAGTAACTACTGATTAATTACTGATCACACAAATTAATTCTCAGTAGCAAAGACTTACCTTCCTCCTGGAGATCTACTATCTTAATATACCTCAAGCTGTTCCAACACCTCAGTGTCTAAAATGTAAATATTTATATGAGTTATTTAGGCCTCCTCAGAGGAGCACAGGGTTGGAGTGTTGTTTTTATTTAGCCATTCAAGGTCTAAAGAAAAAAATGGACAACAATAACCTACAAAAGTACAACAATATGATGTAGCAATTAATAACAAATTCTACATTAACATACTTTCAAATTTGATTGTAAAATATTATTTTGAATAATCCAAATTAGTAATGAATTACCATGTGTAATACTGTTCCATATCACTATTAACTACTGAAGAATAGCACAATAACACGTCAGTCATTAATGGGTTTCAATGTGCTTCACTTTACAATACTGTTCCACATCATCATTAACTACTGAAGAATAGTACAGAAATATTTCAGTCATTAATAATGAGTTTCCATGTGCTTCACCTCACAATACTGATCCACATCATCATTAACTACTGAAGAGCTACACAGTAACACTTCAGTCATTACTAATGAGTTTCACTTAATTGTTTAAACTCATATACATATAGTTAAAATACATGCAACCAACATTTTTAAGTGAGTCATACAACTTAGAACTGTTATGGTACAAAACAGGGGTGACAAAGGGGTGACATTCTCTTTATGTACAGTAATGTTTCAGCCTGGTTATCATTTCTTAGCCTACTCTAATCTGTTTAAATCCCTGTGCTCTCCAAAGTGTTATATGATTTGACAAAAGCGATACAAGAATACATCGAAGGGAATATGACAAGCTGGCAATAAGAGGTGTCTAGGATAGATAGGTTCAGCAATTGCCTCTTTTCTACAACCCATGCCCATACATAACTGTTGATTAATTCCTTGTTGCTTTTAGAAGAAAATGTCCCTTTCACCAGTATATGCCCAGCAAACCTGCAAAATATGGGATAAAGATATGGGCCGTCTGTGAAAAGCAAGCTATGCTTGGAAAATGCAGATTTACACAGGGAAAAACTCCAGGTAGTGACCTGGAAAATAACCAGGACATGAAGGTCATCCTGGATTTGACAGCTGGACTATGTGATCACAATGTGACTTGCGACATTTTCTTCACATCCTACATGCTTGGGGAGGAACTGTTGAAAATAAAGCCCACAATGTAAGGGACCATGAGAAAAAACATTCCAGAGCTTCCGAAAGAGCTCACTGAAAACAAGAACAGAAATGTCACTTCATCTATCTTTGCTTTTCCTGACAC